GTCTAAACTTCTCAGTTTCAACATTTTATTGAGAACATTTAGGAACAGTGCTGCACGTTAACTTTTGTCTGCACATTGTTTTTGTCGCCATTGTTGCTTAGTCTGAGGTGCGAGTCATGCGCTTTCGCTCCTCCTCCACCTCAGGTACTGAAATTTGGCACCGTTTCATTTTAAGTGAATCGGTACTCGGTAGTACCAACGTGAATCGGTACCAAGTACAAAAAGTACCGAGTTTCGGTACCCAACCCTACTGAATGACGTAGTCTGCGTCCAACATTTTGCTTTCCACTACATAAGGTCCTGAAACACAGACAGTGAGGGCACAGCCAGGTGTAGGCAGTAAAACTAACACAATCCAAACACATTAGACACATAACACATTAGATTTCCCAGAAGACGAAGACACAAGTTGCTCTTTCAACAACTTTGAAGGACCATGCACGTTGTGACCTAAATGTTCAAATGACTCACCAACTGCTGGTATTGGGTGCAGGGGAGCTGGACCACAGGTCCTACAGAAATGTGCAACATCAGATTTCATTCCTGGCCAGAAAAAATGTTTCGACACACAACTGTAGGTTTTCTTGACACCTAAGTGACCAGACCGAATAATATGCTGACGGCTACCACTAGGCACAACAATCTGAAACACAGTGTCCCAGTCCTCACCTGAATCATCTGGTTTCAAAGTCCATTTTCTCATCAACACACCATTATCCATCAAGAAATGACTGTCAGTACACTTACTGGCACCATCCACTGCTGCAGCACGACACTTCGCTAGAGACTGGTCACTTTCTGAGCACTGATGAGTGCCTTACACGTCAGCGGCAGTGAAACTGCTGTAGCAGTGACAGACTTTAGCACAGCCTCCTTCACACCACCACTCGAGACAACAGAGGGTAACCTGTCTTCAGTCAACACAGAGGGGAAAAAGAATCAGACAAGTTAACATCCTCTTCATGCTTATGGGGTCTGAGCATAAGTCAAAACACTGGCAGTGAACACTTTTCAGTATTTTGGGCCAGACTGTCATCGTCATCTTCAAGAACAGGAACTTCCACCACTTCAGGGACCGGATAAACTTCGTGCTATATCACTTCCAATAATGAACTCAACACCGCCAACAGGGAAATACGAGCGAACAGCGACCTGATAGAAAGCAGTTACCAACTTGGACTGTATGTGGACATGATGAAGGGGAGCTGGCACAAAAACCATCTCAATCCTCCTCACCGCAGCACTTGCCTCACAGGCAGAGTTCTTGTCCAACGGCAGGACATTGGAGAGGATGAGGGACTGTGAACACGCAGTGTCCCGCAGCACCTTGACCGGGCGCTGATCCTCAGGTCATCCTGTGAGCCTCATTGGGTTAGAGGTGTCTTTAGCCTCACTGGGTTAGAGGTGTCTTTAGCCTCACTGGGTTAGAGGTGTCTTTAGCCTCATTGGGTTAGAGGTGTCTTTAGCCTCACTGGGTTAGAGGTGTCTTTAGCCTCACTGGGTTAGAGGTGTCTTTAGCCTCACTGGGTTAGAGGTGTCTTTAGCCTCACTGGGTTAGAGGTGTCTTTAGCCTCACTGGGTTAGAGGTGTCTTTAGCCTCACTGGGTTAGAGGTGTCTTTAGCCTCACTGGGTTAGAGGTGTCTTTAGCCTCACTGGGTTAGAGGTGTCTTTAGCCTCACTGGGTTAGAGGTGTCTTTAGCCTCACTGGGTTAGAGGTGTCTTTAGCCTCACTGGGTTAGAGGTGTCTTTAGCCTCACTGGGTTAGAGGTGTCTTTAGCCTCACTGGGTTAGAGGTGTCTTTAGCCTCACTGGGTTAGAGGTGTCTTTAGCCTCACTGGGTTAGAGGTGTCTTTAGCCTCACTGGGTTAGAGGTGTCTTTAGCCTCACTGGGTTAGAGGTGTCTTTAGCCTCACTGGGTTAGAGGTGTCTTTAGCCTCACTGGGTTAGAGGTGTCTTTAGCCTCACTGGGTTAGAGGTGTCTTTAGCCTCACTGGGTTAGAGGTGTCTTTAGCCTCACTGGGTTAGAGGTGTCTTTAGCCTCACTGGGTTAGAGGTGTCTTTAGCCTCACTGGGTTAGAGGTGTCTTTAGCCTCACTGGGTTAGAGGTGTCTTTAGCCTCACTGGGTTAGAGGTGTCTTTAGCCTCACTGGGTTAGAGGTGTCTTTAGCCTCACTGGGTTAGAGGTGTCTTTAGCCTCACTGGGTTAGAGGTGTCTTTAGCCTCACTGGGTTAGAGGTGTCTTTAGCCTCACTGGGTTAGAGGTGTCTTTAGCCTCACTGGGTTAGAGGTGTCTTTAGCCTCACTGGGTTAGAGGTGTCTTTAGCCTCACTGGGTTAGAGGTGTCTTTAGCCTCACTGGGTTAGAGGTGTCTTTAGCCTCACTGGGTTAGAGGTGTCTTTAGCCTCACTGGGTTAGAGGTGTCTTTAGCCTCACTGGGTTAGAGGTGTCTTTAGCCTCACTGGGTTAGAGGTGTCTTTAGCCTCACTGGGTTAGAGGTGTCTTTAGCCTCACTGGGTTAGAGGTGTCTTTAGCCTCACTGGGTTAGAGGTGTCTTTAGCCTCACAGGGTTAGAGGTGTCTTTAGCCTCACTGGGTTAGAGGTATCTTTAGCCTCACAGGGTTAGAGGTGTCTTTAGCCTCACTGGGTTAGAGGTGTCTTTAGCCTCACTGGGTTAGAGGTGTCTTTAGCCTCATTGGGTTAGAGGGGTCTTTAGCCTCACTGGGTTTTTGAGCAGAAGAGTTGCGCTTCATGAATACGACCTTATGTGTGAGCACAAACTCATCCGCCAGAGAGTACTCTGATGTTCTACCTGTGATGGTGGTGTGATGGACAGTGTCAGTTGGCTGGTTCAGTTGATGATGTCAGTAGATGACAGGTTGGTAACACGTAAACAGACGACACATTCTCCAGAGTTAATGTTGGTGTTTTACTTGTCCGTTACATGTTGTATGTTATTATGTGGCAGAGACGCTGGAACTTGACGCTCCAACAAGGCCGTGGTTATGGTGTGGTTATGGTGTGGTTATGGTGTGGTTATGGTGTGGTTATGGTGTGGTTAACATTCAGCTGTGGGACTTGGTTCCAGTTTTCTACCAGCTGAGACGTTTCACAGCTTTGACTCTGAAATGTTTCTGAACAAGTCTCTGCTGAGAGGAAACTTTAGTTAGAACTCAACTGTGACTCGTCTGTAACTGAGCTGTGACTCAACTTTAACTCAGCTGTGACTCGAATGTGACTTGACTGTGACTCGAATGTGACTTGACTGTGACTCGGCTCTGACTCCCCAGTAATCCGGCCCTTCCTGTGAGGTACTGAACTAACTGACAAAGTTCAACAGGAAATAGATTAAAACTCTTCCTGTTCGAGTTTGTCCTTTGGGGCCAACTGAGCATGCTCAGTAACCATTTCCTCTCTGTCTGCAGACTCCAGAACAGCTACACGGCGTCTCAGAGAGCCAATCAGGACCTGGAGGAGAAGCTTCACGCTCTGGTAATCTCTCACCTTCTTCATTCATTATCAGTGAAACAGAACCCTGACGTGACGACCAATCGCACATCAGATCACCGAACAGCCAATCAGAGCTCGGCCCAGTCCGACCATCCTGAACGATCAAAATAAATCTAAATAAATCGAAAGAAATCTAGAACTACAGAAAGATTTAGTAATGTTTTATATTTTTGAATAATTATAATAATTTTTAACAGTTTTTTTTATCAAACTTGAGATGAATGTTTTGGACTTTGGGCTAAATAATGATCAAATATTTGTCAGCTGATCTTTAGAGTTCACCTCACTGAAGGTTTGATCCTCAGTTAACAGTTTTTACACTAAATAAAACAAAAATAAAATATCTGGTATCAGATCTGACTCTGATATGATCATGAGTCTCTCAGTGGACGTTCAATTTTCAGTATTTTCCCTCTTGGATGGAACCGATGATAAATTATAAGTGTCACTAATGTAAAGGCTTAAAATCGTCTCCTGTGTGACGACACAATAATAATAATGATAATATCAGGAAAAAGTAGTTTCTGTTGTCATCATTGATCTCACTGTTCTGAGTCATTGATCAATACCTGATGGTTTATGTTTTCTACAGCACGTGTGTGTGTGTGTGTGTGTGTGTGTGTGTGTGTCATTGATCACGTTGGTTCAATCACTGATCGATGACTAAATGAAAACACACTCTGAGGCAGTGCATTGATTAACTGTGGAAAAGTGGAGTTGACAGACAGCAGGATGGTTGCCATGGGCAACCAGAGCAGGAAGTCAGAGGTTGCTGTGAGTCAAAGGTGACCTTGTTACCACGGTAACTGTCTGACTCCCTCCTCACTTTGTCGTCAGTGTGACTGAGATTCATTTCATTCAGCTGAACAATAAATATTGACAGAGACGACATGTTTCATATCAGCACTGACATAAATACACTGTTTACACATATAAACAAACACTGTTTACAGATATAAACAAACACACTGTTTACACATATAAACAAACACTGTTTACACATATAAACAAATACTGTTTACAGATATAAACAAACACTGTTTACACATATAAACAAACATACTGTTTACAGATATAAACAAACACTGTTTACACATATAAACAAACACACTGTTTACACATATAAACAAACACTGTTTACAGATATAAACAAACACACTGTTTACACATATAAACAAACACATTGTTTACACATATAAACAAACACTGTTTACAGATATAAACACACTGTTTACAAAAAAACACACTGTTTACAGATATAAACAAACACACTGTTTACACATATAAACAAACACTGTTTACAGATATAAACAAACACGTACATGTTTCAGGACTTGACTTACTAATAACTTTTCTAACTGTATATTAGGACTTTTAAAACCAATCACTACATTTTCTTGCTAATTTTTCCAACTTTTCTAAGTGTTATGAAAGTCGTAATATTTATTTAAAAAAAGCTTACTAACTATATTGTACGACCTTTTTCACTAATTATTACAACTTTTTTTTAACTAAATAGTAAGTCTTTTCAAAATTGTACGACTTTTAAACTAAATGTTACACACCTTACTAGTTATGACTTTTCCAACCAAATCCACCTTTACAACGACATATTTAGACTTTTCTGCTAGATTGTACGACCATTATGACAAAATGTTTAGACTTTTCAAACTAAATTGTACAACCTTTATAACGAAATATTTAGACTTTTCAAACTAAATTGTGCGACCTTTATAACGAAATATTTAGACTTTTCAAACTAAATTGTGCGACCTTTATAACGAAATATTTAGACTTTTCAAACTAAACTGTACAACCTTTATAACGAAATATTTAGACTTTTCAAACTAAGTGTTATGACATTTCAATCTAAATTTTGCGACTTTTCTTAGTGAATAAAACAACTACTCTGACTATATAATAGGACTTCTCTAACTAAATATAGCAAATATTACATCAATTAATATGAATTTTCTGGCAAAATATAACGTTGCTAGCAAATTATTTTAAGTTTCCTAGCAAAAATTTTTTGGCTTTTCTAACAAAAAATTACCACTTTTCTGACTAGACATCATGACTTTTCTTTCAAAATATTAAGACTTTTCTTGTGAGATGAACTTTTTTAGCAAAAGTTTGCTACTTTTATTGTGAAATATTCCGACTTTCCTAACAAATTATAGCAACTTTTCTAGCATGACCATTTTATAGTGAATTTTCTGGCAAAACATCACAACTTTAGGAATATAATGACTATAATGATGATATATTGCAACTTTTCTTGCAAAACAAAACATCTTTTGTTGCAAAATTTTAGGATTTTTAATTTGGATTTTTAGGTTGAAAGGTACAGTTACATCACACACTGTAAAAGGAGTTAGTTGATTAAAGTCACTGTGGAAACTTTGACTCGTTTGAAACAAACCAAACTTCCTGTTTGTCTTTGTCCTGTTTTGGCTGATTGTCTGATGTCGTTCTTCATCTCTTCTCTCTTTCTTTTTTCTCCTCTTTTCTCACGCTGCTCTGTGACGGATTGACTCATCCTCATCATCTTCATCGTCATCATCACCTTCATCAGGCTGCCGTCAGTCAGACATGGGTTCATGCAGTTGCGTTTCATTCATGTTCTTCCTCCTCACCTTCTGTCCGTCTGTCCTTCATCTGTCCATCCTTCTCCTCCTCCTCCTCCTTCGTCTGTCCATCCTCCTACTTCATCTGTCCATCCTCCTCCTCCTCACTGTTCTTCTGTTTTCTGTCTGAAGATGTTTGAGCACCAATTCCCGATCTCGTTCTTCTCAAACAACTTTTCCTTTAATCTGTTCAAACGCTGCCGCAGGAGAAACATGGGCGGAGTTTAAAACTGTTCATGGACTGATCCAACCCAACATCCATATCGAGTTCTGATGGCGATATGATTCACTCAGCGGATATCGGACTGATGTCACATACTCACGTACCGATCTAGTTTTAACTTTGATTCATAATTTTCAGTTATAATTTTGTGTAAAACCTGCCAATTTGATTTTAAGTCTTGGTTTTGATTAAAAAAGTTGTAATTTAGTTTTAAAATCATGATTTTGATGATTTTTTTTGGGATCATTTATAAAGTTTGTCAATTGATTTATTTTGGTCGTCGTGACTTTACGAGAGTTGCGTTCTGAATTTTGAAGAGTTTCACGTAAAAACTTCTCAGTCGTTAAAATGTTTGGACTTGGTGTTGAACATCTGTTTGTCTCATCACAGCTGTCGATCGTAGCTTTTCTTTGTGTTGTGCTCGTAGAAAAGAGTTAAAAGGATGATGTGTTGCTGATGAATCGATCAGATTGATCGATTGATCCATTAGGACTTTGTGAGGAAACCAGAGAACAATAAATGATCTGCTGGACAGATGATAGGAAATAAAAAAACATTTCAGCTTTGACGCTTCGATCAAGATCTGATCGGATCTTATTGATCTGCTCGCAGCAGCCGCACTGCCCCATCCCATAATGCATCTGTGGAGTGCTGCTCGTGAATGCAGCATTCAAATGATCTGGGAAACTAGAAACTGAGGTTGTTTTCAGACAATGAAGTTGACTGTGAAACAAAGTCTGAAGTTTGTTCTGATCAGTGAAACATGGAGTTTAACTTTTAGAAAACGAAGCGTCCACATGGACTCGACACGTTTAAAGTGCTGTCTCTGAAGTTTGTTCCCACATGATCTGAATGTAGGCCCGCCTCCTGTCACCTCAGGCTCCTGATTGGCTGCCTCGCCTGTGATTGACAGTCGGTGATGTAACATGGTGTCCTTGCTCCTCCCACAGCTACGGAAGGTGGAGAGGGACAAGAAGACAATGGACCAGGAGATTGTGGAGCTCACCAACAAGCTGCTGGACGCCAAGAACACCATTGACCGTCTGGAGGAGCTCAACGTCAGTACAGATACTCTGCTCGCCACACTTCACACACTCATTACAAGTGTAAACAGCAACAACATAACGGAAAGGTGAAATGAACGTGTGTGTTTACCTTTAGCTGGATTCAGACATGTTCCTCTGCCTGTTGCTGCTCCCTCTCTCTCCTCGTATGCTCTTCAGTTTCAGTGAGCTCTGCGTCCGTGTACGTCCGCCCGTATTTATTGTTCAAATAAATACGGGCGCTCATCAAATTCAAATGGCTCATCCAGATCCAGCTGGTCAAAATCGGGTAAAAATTCAGCCATGACTACTCCAAACAGAGGAACTCCTGGCGGTCACTCCAGCGGTAACTTCCTGCAACAACTCAAATCTGGTGAGACGTGAGATTTCAGAGCCAGACTTTCACTCTCTGAGTGAGTGTTTTGACTTGCCACAACAAACATGTCCGAATTTTTACCCGATTTTGACCAACTGGATCTGGATGAGCCATTTGAATTTGATGAGCGCCCGTATTTATTTGAACACGGAGTACACGGACGTACACGGACGCAGAGCTCATTGAAACTGAAGAGCGGACGAGGAGAGAGAGGGAGCAGCAACAGGCAGAGGAACATGTCTGAATCCAGCTAAAGGTAAACACACACGTTCATTTCTCCTTTCCGTTATGTTGTCAGATAATTATACTAACAATCCGAGCCTGTCACAAGAGAAATGTCACATATTGAACATCCTATCACTCATTTAGACAAAAGTAGATTGGAAAATAGGGCCCAGGTTGAAAAAACATTAGTTCACCTTTACATGTCAGCCGATAGACGACGTTTGGTCTCGATGTTCTTCAGCCGACAGTCGGACAGCTCTCAGTGCTCACACAGATTCAGTTCACTGACACAGAGAACATTTCCATTCAAAGCTAAAACCAGATCTTTGTCGACAGTTAATTGATGATCAAACCATGGTAAAGCCGGCTCAATGACCTTTGAACTCTGGTGTTACGTTCACTGACGGCTCTGTGTTTGTGCGTGCAGGAGCGTTACAGGCAGGACTGTAATCTGGCTGTCCAGCTGCTAAAATGCAACAAGTCACATTTCAGGAACCACAAGTTCGCCGATGTAAGTACCTCAGTGTGTGTGTGTGTGTGTGTGTGTGTGTGTGTGTGTGTGTGTGTGTGTGAACTCTCTCCTGAAGCTCCGCCCTCAGGGCAAACTATACACGTTTACAGGTGTGATCATGTGACACAAACACACAGGAAGAGTGCCGACATGTTCGCTGCATTCCAGATCATGTACTTTTTACGCCTCCATGCCAGTGACAGCTGTGACATCATGTTTTTGTGAAAGCAAGATCTCAAGAACTCTCAAGAAAAGGAATTCCTTCAAATTTAGCAAAAAGGTCCACTTGGACTCACAAATGAACTGATGAGATTTAGTGGTCCAAGGTCACTGTAACCTTGCATCTGTCTCATCCTTGTGAATGTGATAGCACACAACAGCCTTGAGGGAAGTGCTACGAATTTGGCACCAGGGTCCACTTAAAGTCAAGGACAAAGTGATTAGAAATTGGTGGTCAAAGGTCAGTGTGACCTTGTCCGTCTCATTCTTGTGAACGGGATATCTCAAGAACACCTTGACAGAATTCTTTTTTTTAATTCGGCACAAATGTTCATTTTGAGTCGGACTGATTAGAAGATTGGTGTCAAAGGTCACTGTTACCTGTTACAGTTGTGTAGATGTAGGCCTTTGATCCAGGAAGAAATTTCCTTACGTTTGGCACAAACTTCCGCTTGGATGAGAGTTTAGACTTCACCAAACATGTTTTTGGTTTTAACTCAAAAATTGACCTGCCAACTATGAAGGACAAAATTATGTAAATATGACATCATAGATCCTTAAAGTCAAAGGTCAGCTTGACAGTGACACATCTTGGGATGAGCAAAGGATTGTGGTCAGATACTGCCTGGATGCAGCAGGACATCTTGGTGTTTGTGCCACACTGTGTATCAGGACAGTGATGACCTGCAGCTGCCTGTGAGGACGAACTGAGGGACGAGTTAACACCAGCAGCTCCTGCTTTAATGGAAGAAACTGGATAATGGCATTAAAAGTGTGTGTGTGTGTGTGTGTGTGTGTGTTGTGATTCTGCTGAGAGCGTTGATGGTTCCATTAGTCCCATTAGAGTTTATAGAGACTCAGCTGATCCGACCCACTTCCTGGAAACACTCTAACACTGTGTGTGTGTGTGTGTGTGTGTGTGTGTGTGTGTCAGCTGCCCTACGAGCTGCAGGACATGCTGAACAAACACATGAAGAGCAGCCTTCCAGAGCGAGGCCCCGCCCCCGGCTCTCAGGACCCGGACACACTCAGTTTGACTCCCGCTGACGTCGTGCCGACATCCGTCATCGCCCGTGTCCTGGAGAAACCTGAGCCGCTGGTCCTGAATTCGGCCCAGTCCAGCAGCTGTGGCCGACCTGTTGCAGAGGACGTCTTCGTGCATGTGGACATGACGGGTCCCGCTGCTGCCGAGGCCCGAAGCCGGGAGAACGGCGCACAGGAGGCGGCGCAGCAGAACGGTTCCTGCCGCAGTCAGAGCAGTCTGGACGGGCAGTCTGGTGGCGAGGAGGCAGGTGGGGCTCCGTCCTTCGAGAAGTTGAACCCTTACCCAGCACCACCACCTCCGCACCCTCTCTACCCCGGCCGCAAGGTCATTGAATTCTCTTCTGATGACAAAGTGAAGATCCCCAAAAACTCACCGCTGCCCAACTGCACCTACGCCACACGGCAGGCCATCTCTCTGAGCCTCGTCCAGAATGACGATGAGCGCCTGGCCCCCGGCAGCCCTGCTCCCTCCTCCTCCTCTGGCGGAGGGGTCCATCATCGCACACCGCCGTCACAGCGGGACGCCGCCAGCGAGCCACTGTCCAGCCAGTCCAGCCCATTCAGCAGCCCGCCACAGGTAACGCACACACGCATATATTCATATGTTATAATATGTTTTAACGCAATTCATACGCCAGCTTATTTATTCAAACATGGTGGTTCAAAGTGTTTCTTATTTTGTGTATTAAAGAAGAAAAACGACCTTCAAAGTGACGTCTGTTTCGTGGTCGGAGCACGGGGAACTTAAAAACGTGTTTGTTGTATTAACCGTGTGAATGCCCCTCCCCTTCAGGCCCCCAGCGTCCTGGCGAGCTCCGGCAGCTCGGAGGAGGACCTGCTGGCCAACTGGCAGCGGATGTTTGTGGAGAAGATGGCGCCGACATGCGACGGTTCAATGGTTCATCGCACGGCATTCAGCAGTCAGACGGCTCAGGAGCTACAGAGGAGGAGGCCGACGCCAGGGGGCGGGACTTCCTCCTCTTCTGACCGCCACAGAGCAGCGTACTCGGACGGTGAAGAGGGCTCATCGGCGCGGAGCTGGACGCCGAGCCGTGGCTCCAGCCTCGACACTGACACCGACACCGAGCCTCGACCCGGCAGGAGGGGGCGCTTTGGCGGCGACGGCTCCACGGAGGAGGGCGAGAGGCTGCTGATGAACCTGGAGGACGACTGTGGCAGCGGGGACACGGCGGTCACCGTGGCGACCAGCCCTGCCGACACCCATAGGAAGGAGTTAGAGGAGGAAGAGGAGGAGGAGGAGGAGGAAAGTTCCACTGAGGAGAGAGACGTTCTCCCCCACGACCTGCCTGTCATCTCGCCCCGCCTCCTGGACTACGACCCCGCCCTCGCCGCCACCGCCACCCCGCAGCGTCCACAGAAGAGCCCGAAGAGGATGGGCGTGCACCACCTGCACCGCAAAGACAGCCTGACCCGAGCCCAGGAGCAAGGCACGCTGCTGGACTGACCCCGCCCCCTCCACACTGTCTGTTCCCATGGCAACTGACTTGTCTGTCACAGAGGTCAGAGGTCACGCCCATCCAGGATATAGCCATGCTCTACCGTATGCTGCCGAGTTCCGTGTGTGTGTGTGCGCGTGTGTCAGACCGATCAGTTGTGATATTGATCAGCTGATAATCAGCTGATCGTCAACTTATCACAAATTCAACAATGATAAAATCAAACTTTTATTTTTATGTAATCAGATTAAATTCCAACAGTATTTTTATTTTCTTCCATTCGTCACATTTTTATTGATTATTATTAATCAATCACATTAATCTGAAAATCACTGACATGCTCTGTGGCCAAAAGTTTGTGGACGTCCTGTGATACAAGAGGCAACTGAATCTTTTTTTTTTGTTTTGTTTTTGTTACTGAGTTTCTCAAAAAGTGACGCAGAAAACAAAATTAGATTAAAGTGACTCATTTATTTACTTTAAACCACATTTTAACTGTGATGGAACAGAAAGTAAAATTAAAGCTGCAGCAGCGACAAACGGACCCTCGCACCTCTGCAACTGGTGCTGTCAGGACGTGTCTGAAAATATGTACTTCCTGTTGCCAGTAGTTGTCAATAAGGCACACGCTGCTTTTGCAGTCGATCCCATTGATTCTACAGGAGAAGTTTGTTAAAACACAACACGTAGGAAATTCAAAATGGCTGATTTCCTGTTAGGTTTAGGCAAGAGGCTTTGTTGTGCTTCAAGGCGTGTGTTTTGGCGAAACGTCGACCTGCGCTGCACCGCCGCAGCGACACGCTTTGATGAAAACTCAGTTTCCACAGTAAAGCATCACCCCGGCCTTATGGATGTTTTTGACCACATTTGAAGTGGGTCTGGTCAACTTTGTAGGAGATAAAACATGTCATTTCCTGTTGCCAGTAGGGGGCGCTATATTTATCACTAATTCAGTTCAGTTTCAGTTTTATTGTCACTTAATGAGGGGCAGCTTGTGGAGGGAGTTAATTTCCCTGATGGCCTGAGGGAAGAAACTGTTGCACTGGTGGATCTGGCCCTGATACTTGGTAGCCTCCTACCAGAGGGCAGGAGCACAGAGAGGTGGTGGGACGGGTGAGAGGGGTCCAGCTTGATGCTTGTGGCCTTTCTGACACATCTGTCTTTGGAGATGTCTGCTGGGGCTGGTGGGCGCCGATGATCTTCTCTGCTGCCCTAACTACTCTTTGCAGGGTTTTCTTATCTGCTGCAGAGCAGTTGCCAAACCAGACAGTGATGCAGTGGGTCATGTGCTTTCTATTGTCCCTCTGTAGGATGTTGTCATGATTGACAGAGGGGATTTGGCAGAGCAGTCATGTGTCAGTAGTGTGAACATGGGGGAGCACACGGCCCTGGGGGGAGCCGGTGTTCAGCGTGATGCTGCGAGATGTTCTCTTTCCTGTTCTGACTGACTGTGGTCGGCCTGTAACACAGTCCAGTATCCAGTTACAGAGTGGTGTGTTGAAGCCCAGAGTGTTCAGCTTCTCTGTGAGTTGTTGTGGAGTGATGGTGTTGAATGCGGAGCTGAAATCAATGAATGACATCCTGACGTGCATTTTTTTGTTCTAGATGTGTGAGTGCCACATGTAGAGCGCTGGATACAGCGTCCTCAGCAGATCTGTTTGCACCATATGCATATTGATGGGGATCAAGGTTTGGAGGCAGGAGGGTTCTGATACGCTACATGACTAGCCTCTCAAAGCATTTCATGAAGATGGGGGTCAGAGCTTTGGGGCGGAGTCATTCAAGCATGACACAGAGGCGGATTTGAGGCATTCTGGGACAACAGTCTGGAGCAGAGATGTCTGTAAAAACATCTTTGAGCTGGTCAGCACAGTCTCTAAGGACCCGACCAGGTATGTTGTCCGGCCCAGCAGCACATGTAGATGTGTTCAGGGCAGGACTGTCATCAATCCTGTGAAGTCTGGGGAAGATTGGACCATGTATGCTGGAGCTTTAAACTACTTCCTGTTTCATGGCGAAACTGAAGTTTGTCACATGGATTGACAACAAGTCAAGCTTATAATAAGTTTTCATCTTTAGATGGTACACACCAAATTTGAAGTCGATATGATCAAATCTGTAGGAGGAGTTCGTTAAAGCACGACTCCTGGAAATCCACCAGAATTACACAGTAAATTCACAATGGCTGACTTCCTGTTGGGTTTAGAGGATGGCTCCAAAAGACTTTTCTGTACGTCTGAGCACGCTCCAAACGCATGCCAAACTGTTTGTCTGCGTGAAAGTTAAAGGTTGGGGATTAGGGGGCGCTGTTGAACCAAAGTGCCCAAACTTTAAAACCAATGTTCCCTAGGATTCAAAGTTTCATGAGTTTTTGAGCGTCCCCAAAAATGTGCTCAAGGGCTACAAATAAAAATCGGAATAATAAGAATTCCTTAAATTTCATGAGGGTCCTCGCCGCCGCCTGCGCTTAGCGCTCGAGTCCTAATTAAACGGTTAGATTAATAAATACAAACGTTTTTCTCTAAATCCTCAAAGACTTGAACAGGGTTTGGTTGATGGTGGCGTCCACTTACTTTTGACCACACAGAGTCCACGGTCAGACGTCTGTACACCAAGATGAACTACGCGGCCAAAAGTTTGTGGACGGCTGATTAGATTAAATTCTGAATTATGTAATCAGTATTATAATCAATGTTAGAAAACCCATTCTGTGTGTGTGTGTGTGTGTGTGTGTGTGTTTTGGATTGTTTGTTAGAGAAGAAGAAAAAAAAAAGAAGCTAAAAACTTTTTGGACGTCTTTGCCTTGTTTCCTGACCTGGAGCTTTTATTTTGAAGAAAACATATAAGACACACCTGGATGCGCGCGCGCACACACACACACACACACACACACACACACACACACTCGGACTTGGACTCTCAGTGCCTATCACTCTCTCTGGGAGGTTGCGAGTACGACGCCGGGCCTGCTGAAGGTCAGACATTTTTTTTCTTCACTAATCACTTCCTGTCATGGCGTGTTTTTATTTAGTCACCTGACTGGTCTGTCGGGACGTTTAACCTTTGACCCTGGCTGACCTACACCCCCCCGCCCCTCCCTTAACGCTGTATGTGCAGGGGGGTGGGGCCAGGGGGCGGAGCTTGTCCCACCTGGAATGTAACCATTCAGTTTGTTTGTTTGTTGTCTTTGTTTTGGGGTATAGATCCATTATTAAGAGATTATTTTATTATGTTTATGTTTGATTTGTTTTGTTGTTTTTATGTTCGGACGTTCTCACGCTGCTACGGAAGCCCGTTAGTTCCAGAAACATGGGTGGGCACTGAAAATGACTTTTATTTTGAAGGATATAAACTAAAAATAGTTGGAGAGGCGGTTAAAATCGGGAGAAATCAGGTCGTCAGCCGTCGCAACCCTGGACTAATGTTTGATCATTTAGTTTGAGTTTTAAAGGAGCAGTACGTACGTTTTAGTGGCGCCTGGCGGTGAACATCACAGGTTACAACCAGCTGAACGTCTCCCGGTTAGAATTCCTTCAGCGTTGAGGAGCTGAATTATCAGCAGATGTCTCCTCCTCAGTGCTTTTACGACGCCACTCATAGCGGAGGTACTGCTGATTAAGAAAACATGAATGTCTCTATCTAGAGTCAGTGTTTGGTTTGTCCGTTCTGAGCTACTGTAGAAACATGGCGGTACGTGTTGATCTCTGTAGACGAGGACCTGCTCCCTGTGTAGATATAAATGTCTCATTCTGAGGGAACGCAAACACAGCTGATTATACACTAATGTCGGGTTCAGACTACACAGTATCAGTCTGGTTAAAGCTCAACGTGGCGCCGTACGGCGTCGCAATAATAAGCGTCATACGTGACAATCCAAGATTTCATCTGGTGTAGTGCGTCACAGTAGACGACAACCGACGCCAGGTCTGGGACGCCTCATGACGTCCCAACAGAAAGTCTAACATGCTTGATTTTCTTTTGGTCATTCGCAACTTCTCCTGTCACAGCCGTCACTTTGACCAATATGAACACAGAGCGATCCACCATATGACACTTTTTACGTGACAATAATAACATGACACTTTTTACGTAACAGTAACATGCTACTTTTTGCGTTACTATAGCAATATGACACTTTTTACGTAAGATGACGCTTTTTACATCACCACAGTGTGAACAGCCCTGTAGACTGAAATAATAGTGATAATAATAATAATGATAAAAATAATAACAATAAACAATAGGACAAAAGTCACGGCAAGATTTTATGACTCCACCATCACCTGGTCTGACACAGTGACTGTTGTGTAGAAAAAAAAAATTCCCCAAAAATTTAGTTGTGTGAAAATACACATTAACATGAACATGTTATTAGCAAAGATAAAACCACCTATTTATTTTAAAAAGCAACGTAATTTACAGAACACATTAATGACAGAGTGACCGTTAGCATCGTGCTATCCTGTGAGCTAGCTAAAGCTAAATCACTGTGCAGCACTTATGACGGTGAGGTGAACTTGTTAGCTGATAGTTGCGTACTACTGAAACATATAAGCCTGTTAGCTTTAGCATTATTCCAGGTGTTCCAGCAGGAGACTCTGAAACAGCGTCCGAGGCTAATGTGACCCGCTGTGCTACATCAGCTTGTTTTCCATGTTTCTGGCACTCGCGAGCTTCCGTACCTTCAGTTTGTTTTTCTTCTGTGTGGTGTCGCTGATCGAATGTTGGCTCATTGCCTTCCTCACAGCTCTCTGATTGTGACGCTCACCGAGCACCGTCATCACTGATTGATCCACTGATGATTGATTGATTGACTGATTGACTGATTGACTGCAGGCTGTCAGAGTCCTGATTTTAAAACCTGAGCAGATTTTTTCCTCAGCAGTGCTTCGTGTTCTCAGAGGAGGTGAAAGTATTGATCACATATTGATCAGTTTGTATTAAAGTGTCAGACTATGATCAGTATTGATCTGACCTGGTTTCATCATCAGTTAATTGATCGCTTAGTCTTCAAAGCCGACAGCAGGCAGCATCATAATTATATTTTTAATCCCGTTAATTTGAGAGCACAAATTAATAATCTATCAAACAGAGTATTGATCCAGACTGAGGCTTCATGTGATAACCCTTCAATCACTGCTGTCAGAGTGCATGATGGGACACAGACGATGTCAGCTGATGACGGAGAGCAGAACAGGAAACAGATTGTTTCATATTTTACACCTTCAGAAATAATCAGGTACTTAATGCCGGAGGCAGAATAATTGCAGGATGTCCTTCTGTCCGTCCTGTTCGTATGAACACAATATCTGAAGAACACCTTGAGAGAATTATTTTCAAATTTGGCACAAAAATCCATTATGACTCAAGGACAAACTGATTAGAGGGTCAAAGGTCATTGTGACCTTGCATTGTGACCATTCTCATGAATGTGATATTTCAAAATGGCCTTGAGGGAATTGCTATGAATTTGGCACAAACGTCCACTTTTCTGTGGTCAAAGTTCACTGCGTCCTTATCTGTCTCCTCCTTCTGAACGGGATATTTCAAGAACACCATGAGAGATTTTTTCAAATTTGGCACAAATGTCATTTTGAGTCAAATTGATTAGATTTTTGGAGTCAAAGGTCACTATGACCTTACAGTTTCGTAGATGTAGGCCTTTGTTCCAGGAAGAAATTTCCTTCAATTTGCCACAAACGTTCACTTGGGCCCAAGAATGAACTGATCAGAATTTAGACTCCATGAAAAATGTTTTTGGCTTAAACTCAAAAGTTCACCTGCAAATTATGATGGATAAAAAAGGTCAAAAGGTCAAAGGTCAGCTTGACTGTGACATCATCATGTTTTAACGTCATATCTCAGGAACAGAAGGGGAGACATTTGGTCAGATACTGAATTGGTGACTCTAATTTTGAAACTGTGCTGATTGTATAGATCTTGTGTGTGTGAAGCATCCATGTTTTCACTGACATGGATGGAGACTGGAACTGCGACACGACCGCGAGGCGTTAGTTATAGTTAGGTCATGGTCGAGCTAACCAGGCTAACAGTTTCCCTTTGCCCACAGTGTTTGTGCTAAGCTAAGTTAGCCGCAGCCTGGATTGCAGCGAGAGTTTAAATATTCAGATAACACAGGTAACTAAAAACCTGAGTGTGTGTGTTGAATGTAAATTAAACATGGAGGACGGCGGTTTGCTCCTTAAACTGCAGCCTGTTTGTTCTCAGCTGATAAATTATTTAAAAACATTTTCTTCTGTGTGACGTCCCACAAACACAAACACACCATCCTCCTGCTCTTCCTCCTCCTGGTCCTTTTCTCTCTCCTCCCCATCTGCCTCCTCTCCTCCTCTTCTCTCCTCCCTGTCTTCCTCTCTTCCTTCTCCCCCTCCTCTTCCTCCTCCTGGTTCTTTGTCCTCAGCTGTAATTATTAGCAGAACGAGCGGCTGCATTAAATTATTAACGTTTTATTATCATCAGAAATGGGTCACTAATACTTTAAAGTGTGTTAGAGTGTGTGTGTGTGTGTGTGTGTGTGTGTGTGTAAATGTAAGTGTTTAATATTTCATACGAGTTATCAGATGTTCAGGAGACGAAGAGAACAGGAAGTCAGAGAGAGAGAGAGAGAGAGAGAGAGAGTGTGTGTGTGTGTGTGTGTGTGTGTGAGTGATGCACTCTGGGTATAAATAGACGTTACATCTGGACTCGTACAACTTTAATGACTCTTCTTCTTCATGAATATAATTGGAGACGTCGACCTGCTGCCTTGTCTCAGCCAAGGTCACTCTCCTCCTCCTCCTCCTCCTCCTTCTTTTTCCTACTTTTTTCTTCCTCCCTCACTTCTTCTCATCTTCCTCATCTTTCTTTCCTCCATGTCTTCATCCTCTGTCCACCATTTCCTCCTCCTTTTCTTTGTCTTTCCTCTGTCACACTCTTCTCTCCTCCTCCTCCTCCTCCTCCTCCTCCTCCTCTTCTGCCTCCTCCTCCTCCTCTTCTTCTGCCTCCTCCTCTTTTCAGCTCTGATGATACTCCTGATTAAAATAACCATGTCACACGATCTTCATCAGGTCATGTCGTTCCTCCACTGACAAACATGACGCTCACACACTGCTGATGAAGACCATGTGGCACAGCTGAAAGCTCTTCTTATCTCTGCAGGGCCGCCCGCAGTAACATTACTGATCATTAATGACCTTTTATTAACGACTTATGAACGTCGACAGCGGCGATGCTGTTGGTTTATTAGAAAGTACAAAGAACATTATTTACGTCTCTTCACTTCAGTCATCAGTGCCTGATAATGTCCGATTAACGTACCTGCAGATTATTCATGTTATTATACGCTTTATTAATGTGTTATTAACATGTATTACTGCAGATTTAATTTTAATAATAATTAATAACATAATAACGTTTAGAGCTGCAGGTTATTCATGTTATTAACAGTAAATGTGTTACTGCAGTCTCCTCGTCTTATTAGAAACATCAACATAACCTTAGTTCTTATTAAGGGTTAATAACGACTCTATGAAGCATTAATAGCAGCAACAATTTATTAACACTAATAAAGACATTAGAGTTAATAAATAGTTTATTAACATTAATAAAGACATTAGTGTTAATAAACAATTTATTAACATTAATAGACATTAGTGTTAATAAACAGTTTATTAACATTAATAAAGACATTAGAATCAATAAACACTTCATTAACATTAATAAAGACATTAGTGTTAATAAACAGTTTATTAACATTAATAAAGGCATTAGAGTTAATAAACACTTCATTAACATTAATAAAGACATTAGTGTTAATAAACAGTTTATTAACATTAATAAAGACATTAGTTGGAGCTTATTAAACCCTTTATAGAGGCTGAATAATAAAGTGTCGTGTCCTCGTGATAAACTGTTTCTGAAACAATTTATTTTCACAATAAAATACAGGAAGTGACACAAGATGACAGCGCGGTCTGTTTCTCTGCTGATCTGAAGTCAGTTTAAAGTCTGTGTCCCAGCATGCATCAGGAGGGCTGAGGGTTAAACTGCTGTTTGATGATGATGATTTTACTGTCACGTCTCTTCTTCATGTGTCGTCTCACTTTTTGTCCCTTCATGTCAGACGGGAGTTCACTGTCATTCAACATTTAAGATGTAATTACAGCTCTTATTCTGAAAGGTTCACTAAATCCGACTACTAAATTTCCCGAGTTTAGACTGATGCTAATGTGCAATATTTTCAGAGATGATGAAGCAAACACCTTCTCTTTGTGATTAATCATCACATTCAAATCATAATTACGTTACATAAATATAAATTCACATTTTTCACAATTCACATATTTAACACTGAATATGAAAGCACACACGCATACGTCATGTTAGCATTAGCTGACATATTTCAAATTTAGCCTTATGTTAACATAACATTAATTTAAATTCGGACTCATGCTAACATGAAATATTCAAAGCAAAAACGTGAATATCTGACTTCTAAAAATAAAAATTTAATACTGAATACTCCATATTTAACGTTAAATAGTCTGTATTTAGACTAAAGATGAAGAACGGTATGTGTGGGAGCTACAAAGCGGTAATTGTAGCGCTAAATATTCCAAACATGGGCTAATATTTAGAACAGTGCTAACATGTATGTGTGTTTGCTTCATTTACTACTAAATATTCTAAATAGGGAATATTTAGCGCAAAAAAGCAAAC